GGGAGAATTTGGAAATTTCAGCAATGTAAACATATCCATACACACAGAGAGACACACACACACACACACACACACACACACACACACAAACACACACACACACACACACGCACACACACACACACACTCATCACACACACACATACACATGGACACACAAATTAAAACACACACCTACACTCACACGCACACAGGTAAACACACACCTACACACACACACACACAGGTAAACACACACCTACACACACACACATGTACATACATACAAACACACAGACACCCAAACTGACCTTAGTGTCCCAGCCACATGAGTGGAGCTGCTGACCAGCTGGGCTCCAGGACACTCCTCTCACCATGTCCTGGTGGTCACTGTTCTGGTAACTGGTAAAAAAAAAACAATAATTTTGTTTGTTTCTTTGTTGTAGACTTTGTTTATTCATGAAATACTCAAATTCACCCACTGGCCACTTTTCATACAGATACAAATGTAGGTGTATGTCAATCTTTATTTGCTGTATTCACTGTTACAACTTACGAAAAACAAAAAAAAATGATGGCAATGGTTTCTGAACAGTTTTTAGTATGATCCATACCTGCTATATTATAAGTGGTACAGGTAGAATTTGTCTGGTGCAGCTAATTCTCAATGTTAAGTGCACCAGTACAGATATGCAGAAAAGACATTTCGAGCCCTAGTCACTGATGCCTACAACACTTGATACACCATCAGCATACAGACACTGGCCAACAGTAGACTAGGGGATAAACGTTAGAGCAGGGAAGTTCCTGTTTTGGTACTTACACAATGTTGGGGTCTGTCTGTAGACTGGTCACCACCACATCACAGTCATCTGACACTGTTGCTAGCCAGCTGATGACAAATAAAAAATAACAAACTTCAGATAAACAACAACTTTTGAAGTTTCACCTGGTTGGAAAAACAACGGATATTGAAGTTTTCTTTTACGAAACAGGTAATGTCTAGTATCACCTCCTTAATAGCAGGGGAGTCATTACTGGTTGTGCTAGTATATAAAGAAAAATTTAATATGATCCTTTGTTTTTCCAACCAGATGAAATTATTTTTGGGAACAAAGTTAGATGTACTAATCCTGAACTAGAATCCCGTGGTTGGTTGGTTGGTTGGTTGGTTAGCTGATTGGCTAGCTGGTTGGTTGGTTAGTTAGCTGGTTGGTTAGTTAGCTGGTTGGTTAGTTAGCTGGTTGGTTAGTTAGCTGGTTAGTTGTTGACCCTACTGACCTTGGTTCTTGCGGACAGTACGCCAGCCGGTGGACAGTCCGGGTGTGTGGCCGCCATCTGTGAACCGGCTGTGACTGGTTTCTCAGTTCCAACATCAACACCTCGCCCGTCTCACAACCTTAGCAACAAGAGTACAAACACTGCATGACATTTTCTCTCACTGTTAACGTTACATGTAGTACAGATTTCTTGCAAATATGTCCAAAAAATTGTGAAGCAAAAAAGACTTAACCCTAACCCTGACTAAGCTAGCCACATTGTTTTTTTGACTTCTGAAGTTTTTCTGGTATTGTAGCTTCATAGATGAGGAAAAAGAAGAATGACCCTTGCCTTACCTATCGTGATGTCAGTCTGTCTGTTGGCACTCCAGGTGATACATGTGGGAACACCTCCAATAACACCTTTACCTGTAAGTTAATTAACATCATTATCTGACAGTTTGCATTTTTCAAAATCCATCCAATTGTTGTTCAGCAACTGTTTTCTCGTGTATATGGACATATATTCACGCTGTGATTTAGACCCCCTACGCTGTGATTTAGCCCCCTACACTGTGTTTCAACCAGCGTAGGGGTGGTTTTTGGGGGCAGAAGCTTCATTAATCTTTAAAAAAATGAAAATATAACTTAAGAATGAAGCTATAACAGAGGGAAAACAAAATCTGTCCCCAAATAAACAATAAATAGTGTCTTAAGTGGTTAATATGAGTTACAGAATTTTTGGGAGAGAATATCAGGCCCATGTTTTGGGGACTCGGTGCGTGACTCGCGCCGCAGAAAGTTGCCCTTCTATACCTGACCCCTACGCTGTGAAAAAATCCTGGTGAGAACCCTGATGGATGTATGAAAGTTAGACTGGATGTCTATGTAATAACCGTAATCAACATTTGAGCAATAGGATTTTATAAAATTATGAGACTGTTCCTTACCCAAACTACATGCAGCCTTTTCCTTCCTTGTGTCCCACATTAGCGCTCGACCATCCTAGAAAGAAATATTGGGTCAATAATTGTCTTTTGCAGGTTTTTAGAGATGCTGTTGCTCTGACATCTTGTGGTAATGAGTTACAGACAAGTGGCTAGGGAGTAGAGATCTTCCTAATATTTGTAAGTTCATACCTTTGCACATGATAGGATGACATCTACAGGAGATGCATTGTTACAGGGCTACAGGTCTTCCCTAGTATTCTTATAGCATTTACATGCAACTTAAAGACTTAGAACTATGTTAGTAGACTTACCTGTGCACAAGACAGGAAGACATGTTTGTCCATGGGGCTACAGGAGATGCACCAGATAGTGTCTGTGTGGGCTGTGGGGGAAACATTTGCAAGCTAATGTTACATATCTCCTTATCTGCCATTCAGAGTTCCAACAAAAAAACGTGGATGACAACAATATAAAAGCCAACAAGAAGTTTTGATGCAACATTTTATGTACATGTAGTTTCCTGCAAAAACATTAAGCAATGAACTATCAATACAGAAAAATATTTCAGCTTACCTTTCAGTGTTTTCATTGCCAACTTTGTCTCCAAGTCCCAGATCTTGATACTGTAGATACAATACATTGATGAATGGGTTAACAGTTACAGCTTTATCTAGTGAGAAATTTAAAGCCTCTACTGTACTTGTCAGTAAGGATACCCCTACTGTACTAGGAAATCCTTGGGTACTTGAAGGCATGACTATTTCTTGTTCTTCCTTGGGTAGGTTTAGTAAAGACAGCTGTACTTGGAAGTTGGGAAGTCTATTAACATAGAAAGGAAGTAGAAATCCCTTGGGAGCAAATACAGCATATTTCACTCCATCTCCCTTCCCATCCCAAAATTGATAATAACAACAAAGTGGTGTATGACATAAGTGGGGATGTGTCCTAGGCACATTCATGCTAAATTAGACAGAAACGAAACTTGAAACAAAACTAACGTTGCATCTGCGCCACCTGATACGGCTGCATTGGCGTCAGGTGCCGTGCTGACGGTGTGCACCGTGCTGTCGTGTGCGTAGCTGTACCACAACGTCTGGAAGGACTCCCCCTCCTCAGACAGCTGCCACATCTCAATAGCTCCTGGAGAAGGACCGAGAATTCATACATCGGTGAAGGTTAGTCATCCAGCTAATAAGATACACCAAAAAACTAGAAAGGCCAATATTTGCTTTGGAGCAAATACAGCGATGGGTTCACCACATTTTACGACATGGCAGGGAAAGAATGAGAAACACAAGGGAAAACAATGATTTACATTGATATAACTATAATATGAAGTAAAATACAACTAAAACAACAGTTGGATAGCTATTCCCTACTTTATTGGTTAGGATTTTTAATTGCATAATGCAAACTGTTGATTTTCAAAATAAAAAAAACGTCCATGCCCCGCATTCCAATGCTGGAGCAGGAAAGCTTGAAATACCTACCAAAACACTTGAATACAGACATACTGTCAGTATGGAAATGCTCTGTGCAGGTGTTAATCAAGTTAAATCCCAACAGCCAATCAGCAAGAAGTATAGAGGAAAGCTGCATGCCTATTGGTTGATGCCCTGCATTCCATTGTGATGACTCATGCCCAAACGTGGTAAACAAGGCACACTAACACAGTAATACATTTGCTACAACACAGCCAAAAAACTCAAATAAAACCATTCTAAAAGCCTGTATCACAATAATTTAAAAAACGACTAGGGGTATTTGCCCACTGTACCTCCATACCAAATTTCAGGACCTTGGGCCCTAAAATGAAGAAGCTGAATCCATTTAAAAAATGGCAGGAGAAGAAGAAGAAGAAGAAGAAACATCAGAAAAAGCAATATGGTGCTTCGTGGTGTGGTGAACCCATAAAAAAACAGTTACTCAAGCGGCTGGATGTGATTTTGGAAACGGTCAGACGTTTCAGGTGGCATCCACTACCAGCCGACCAAACTGAACCCAGGGGTACAGTCTGGTCAGGGGTGCTATCTGTCCTGTTACACTTTGTGCTTTACACATATTGACAGTGTAACAGCCCAGACAATACCCCTGACCAAAATGTACCCCTGGGTACAGTTTAGTCGGGGAGGACAGCCTGTACTGTTATACTGGCAACATACTCCTCTGATCCAACATAAATGGCAACATAAAATTAAAAAAATTATCACACACTTTCACTTACCTGAATCTGAGGCTACGATTAGTTGGTTATCGTTAATGAGCTGCAGGTCGGCTATTCCGGCTTCTGTCTGCACCCCCGCCGTGCACTGCTCCACGTGGGGGGCGACGCTCGGATCCTGGAAGTGCCAGAGCGACCCCGTCCAGTACCGTCCGGTCAGCCGCGAGGCGCCCATGATCAGGGACCCATCTGGAAACAAGAATACAACACTTTTATGTCATATATTCTTTCTGTATCTGTATCTAGCTATATCTGTATAGCCGGTATAACCTCCTTTCAGTGTAACACCAGCTTCGCAGGCACGCGGCGCAGCAGCAGCTGGCTACATTACAACGATCAACTTGTTACACCTAACCTTGCACTTCTAACTCTACACATTGTTTAGCCAGTCTTTAGTCTAATTATTCGACCAATGGGGCACCACTGTGACCACAGAATTATTATGAGATGGTATGCCAATCAGTTTTATCCACCCTTGTCGGTTTGGGCTACAAATCTCCAAGCAGATCATACAGTGGCAAGACAGTATCCATTGGCCAGAGGAGTGTCCATTAGCCAAATTATGGATACTAGTACTGTCTTGCCACCGTGATCTGCTTGGAGATATTTAGTGTAAACCTCCTTGTGTAAACACACAGCTAGTTCATGGGCACATATAGCAAATTATACATAAAGCAAAGATCAATTACTAGAATATCTAGTCTAACGGGTCCCTATGATAGATCAAGAAAATCTGAAAAAGTAAAACATTTCACAGTGCTATGAAATTATGGTATCAAACTTTGTATTTTTACCTGATCGACACCGGATCACTTCCAAATGCCGGTCCATTGCTGCAGGCACGTCCACCATTTTCAATTTTGCAGTTGACCAAAGGCGAGAGAAAAACTTGAATCAGCCCGTAGAGTCACTGCCAGCGCCAAGAAGCTTGATGAACTTGAAGAACAACGCTCAAGATCAGATGATGCCGAATGTCACGTTTTGTTTTTTGTGTGGATGAACCATGTGTGCCGGCGGATTGAACCACTTGATTACAGGGGGTTTTCCTCTGAAACTGTTTATATAGCTTACGTTTTCATTTCAGCTAAGCAGAAAGAAATGCCTCTTTCTATTTCAAAGTGTTAGGGTTAATGAGAACTATTTAAGTACATATATCTAAACTGAACATACAGGGCCCTTTTCTTTAACAGAAAATATATTCCCTGCAATTTTTTTTGGCATGGTCTAGCTTTTGCTATTTTGCGGCTTGTGGTAAAACGGTAGGAGCTATTATTTTACGACAATATTACTGTCTTGCGGCAGTTTCGGGGTTTCCTGGGCTGCGCGGAAGGGGTTCAGCGGCCATATTTTTTCAGAGCCGGGAAGTTGGTTGGGAAAACGATGTTGTCCCGGTTGGCTGCTAGATCAGGTAAACAAGCATATTTTGCACGCAAACATACTTTATGTTGTTTGGGATTTAATGTTTTATGACCTAGTATTATTGTCTCCTTCGTATTGTCACCCTGTAGTTGGTAATGGGGCGATGGAACTGGGTGACCTTCATGAAGGGGGAGGGGGGCATTGGAACCGGTAGGTCAGAACATCCTACCACAAATCATGATAACTGTGAGCTGTGACAACTGCCAAAGACAGAAGCAAAATGAGGATGAACAACAGTGTGGTCGCTAGTGGCGAATAAGAGCACGTTTAAGTCAACGACAAGAACAACACGAGGTTTCAAACCCCCCTATACCCCCCCCCCATTGTACAGTATATTATCTAGAGATGTTATGACTTTGAAAATTATGGAAATGGCTATGATAATTTGACAGGATCACCCTGTCAATAACAGACAATTTTGCACTATTGACAGGACCACCCTGTCAATGACAATTTGGCACTATATGACTTGACCTGAAGCAAAAATTATTACAGGTAAAATTCATAGACTATGTTCTTAATTCGAGCCAAGAAGGTCTGGTTGGCAAGTGTGAACTAAACTAACATACAGTAACACTGTAGAGATCACAAAGTAGTAAGTACCTAACCTACAAAGCTCCAGTTTTACCTGCACTAACCTGCATATACAGGTGGTATAATTTTCATGTCCCTATTCCCTCCCCCTAGCGGCAGTGGCTGCCCAGCACCACCACGGTGCCAGGCTGTGTGTGGCGGCGCCGGTTCGACTGTTCCACTGCTCAGAACAACACGGACGCCCCATAGAACCCATACCCGAGGAGGGCGGTAAGGTTCGCATGGGCGTCTTTCCCGAGGAGTGGTTCCAGTTCTTCTACAAGAAAACTGGTGTGACCGGTAAGAAGATGTTAAAGCTTATGTTCACGACTTTATCAATGGTTTAGTTCGCAAGTGCAAGTACTGTACAAGTAAAAACAGGGCTGTAGAGTTTTTTGCACCTCACAGGTACAAGCCAGCTGAATTGCATGAGCAGCATACTCACATTGTAACAAGATTATGATGCAGCAACTTTAAAACGACTTCCTTGGAGCTTCTTTGAGTACAACTTCTCGCCACTATACATGTACAAATGTATATAGCTACAAAGTAGGTGGCAAGAAACAGTACTCAAGTCAGAAGCTCTGAGGAAGGTGATAGACATAAAAATGTACATGGGTATGAAAAACATTTACTGGTTGTGTAAAAGAAAACTCCAAAAGAAAACTACAATATCCTACGTTCTACCATCATGATGGACTTACCAGTATTTTACGCCAATATCATACTGACGTACAGTTTTCTTGTCCCCCCCATACAGGCCCCTATGTGTTTGGAACTGGGCTCTTGGCGACCCTTCTGTCCAAGGAGTACCTGATCATCAACAATGAGTTCATCGCTGGGGGGATTTTTGTGTCCTTCGTGGTGTACATCATCAGGAAATTCGGCCCTAATGTAGCCACCTACGCTGACAAACTACGCCAGGTACGTTAAGTTTTGTTTTCATTCAAAACTAAGTAGTCAATGTTTCATTAGCCTAGTACTAGTAGTAGAGTGCCCGCTTTGCATTCCCAAAATTAGTAGGTTTAAATCTTAGCTGGGTCATATCTAACTTATAATTCTAAGACTGAAAATTTTACATACTGCTTTGTCTACCTAGCACTCAGTATTATGAGAAAGAGTATGATAGTTGAACACTGTCTCCAATACCAGTGGACCAGCCCCCTGCTGTAGTACTGCACAAATGTGTGGCCCAAGGGCTATTGATAGAAATAGAGATAGGCACTGCCCTATTTGTACACAGAAAGGTGTGGGTTGTATTTTAACTTCATAACTTAAGTAGTCATCTTCAAAAATATTGAATTGGCACTTTCATGATTGCTTTCTCACTTGTTTCTCTACATTTTTTTTTTTCAACTTTTTCCCAAAGTAAAACCTCTCTATATTTGATATTACAGGAGAGAATTGACTACATCGACAATAAGAAGGGCAGGTTCATCGGAGCCTGTGAAGAAGGTATCGAGACTGAGAAGAAAGAACAGTGGCGAGCTGAGGGGGTGGACTACCTTTTCGATGCCAAGAAGGTGACAGTTATATCACCAATAACTTGTTGACTGGGTTATGTATTGATACAATATATAGTTTGACTGTTGTGCTCTTCAAAAATCACAGTAACATAGTGTGATATAACAGCCTTGTAGTTATTTATTTTTTGTGTGCATATTTTTGTGGTCTGGTACTAAATATCTTTAAAATGTTTTCTTTGCAGGCCAATGTTGCCATGCAGCTGGAGACTGCCTACCGTGAGAGACTACATGAAGTTTCCAATGCTGTGAAGAGGCGACTGGTATGTACAACATGTATTTAAACCTGTTGTTTTTACAAGAGAGCCAACAGCCAACAGATTTTCTATAGCTGTACTGTAGCAACATTTGCCAGTTCTTGTATTGTGCAACTTACTTCTATTAAGTTATGGTAAATTTTCTATTAGGCCACACCAATTTAATTTGTTGGTTCTCGGATTTTTTCAGAAAAAATATGAAGCGACAGGGCGAAAAAAATAAAATAAAAACAGGTCTAGGCATCCTATTATAGGCTTAAATGCTACAAAATGAGCCATGAAGTCAACACAAAAGGCTGGGTTAAAATTTAAACATTGAATTTTGAACTTTTAATCAAACCACTGCAATGATAGATGGGAAAACTGTAACAACTAGGAAGAAAAGGACTTTCCTCAACTGTTGGGGGGCAAAACATGAGCATTTTTCAGTTGATTCAGGACAAGAATCAAATTTTTTTTTTTTGCAAATCAGAAAAAAACGAAGAGGCGAATCCGAGAACCAACAAATTAAATTGGTGTGGCCTTAGCCTGTTTTTGCATGCTTGTACATTTTAGACTTAGTATGACCATTGTAACAGTATTATAACTGTTGTTCCTTGTCCATGGATGTTGATAGTGTTGTAACTGTTGTTATTCCCTGTACAGGACTACCAGCTGGACGTAGAGAACACCCAGCGTCGCATGGCCCAGGAACACATGGCAGACTGGGTGGTCAGCAATGTGGTCAAGAGCATCACCCCGCAACAGGTACCTTACTCACTTTCTGGTCTATCGTCAATTGTTCTTGATCTCCCATAGATTAGACATGCTCGTACATGGATGCTGAGGCTTGATACATAACTACAGTCATGTACATCCATGTGAAGCAAGTATCAAATACTGTATAGACCAAGTGCTATACAAGTGCATTAGATGGATGGTTTTGACTTATGTAATGAGGTAAAATCACAACAGTATGACCAAACAGGTAAAAAAAATTGGTTACTTTCTTTAAATATATGTTGTTTAAAATGTCATTGATTCAACAGTGAATATAATGTATTGCTTCTGCATACACTTTCTCTTGAGCTTTGATAAAATTTACTTCTATTTGAGCTGTCAGGAACATGAGTCTGATGTGTTTTTCCTGTCTTTTCTTTTTCTCAGGAGAAGGAAGCTATTGCCAAGTGCATTGAAGACCTGAAGCGAATGGCCAAGGCTTCTTAACCAGTTATACCTGTGTGTGTACAGTCCAAATCAGTAGAACAACTTCTGCTATAGATCTCATTATGAAATATCCAACACTACCAGATGGAATATCCAGGCTATATGAAGAGAATTTGTAAGTTCTAGCAAGAGTACAGTTGATTTGTGAAAGTGCTGATACCTCTTGTCAGGAAAGTGAATAAATATGTCAACATTGCCAGTGGCAAAATCTGTGTTTGTTTTCTTATTATCTAAGAATACATTTTAATCTTTAATTCTTTACGTTAGTTCTTCACCATCATCGCTAAATTCAAATGTCTAACTGATAGTACTTTTTAAAGTTAACATTCTGAACACAATGCTTTGCAAAAAACAAATGACAAGAAAAATATTGCATATAGATTTTATTTCTTTTGTCTCACAACACTAGATATTATTTGTTTAAAGATACAACATAAAATTTAAATTTCTCAATATATTCTTGGTGAGAAACATAGGGTGTGGCTATACCATGTGTATTGCTTGCTTAAACAGTTATGTTATTTCACTGTTGGTTCATAGCAAACAGCTACAGACATCATTTCAGCCAAATGTTTGACACAAATGGAGTTCAGAAAGCTACAAATGTACAAGAAAGTGATACATTTTTGCATGCAAAGCCAACCCTTTTTAAGTACATAAATGTGAAATTCTTTGAATCAGACTTGAAGAATTACAATTCATTTAGGCTGGATACAGGATGAGAACAAACATCACTCAAGTCTTTATGTACAATCGTGAATATACAATTGTGGCTTTGATATAATTTGACACTCTTAAAATCAGGATCCCAAACATATAACTGTCAGCAAGCAAAATTCTTTGAACTTTGCTATGCTGCTTATCATAAAACCTGTGGTAAAATTTTTTCACATTTTGCAGAGCATGCAGTATACAGTGCAGAACTTAGAATTCTGGTTTGAAGTATGTAGTGTCTAAAAGTAGATTGTTCATGGTTTACGGAAAGATGCAGGCTGTCGTTGTGCTGCGTTCGTGGTCTGCCTCCACTCCGTGCGAACTTTGGCGTTGTAGAAGGGCGCAGCATCCGGGTCCAGCAACTCCTGCTGAAGCCTCTCAAACTTTTCCTGCTCGTCTTCAAGCGGCGCCCGGCTCCTGATAACTGTGCCAGCGCGTATCCCGATCCCCTCCATCGTGCTCGTGATGGTGTCATCCACCGCGAAGAAGCTCTCGGAGTACCAGGCGTCAAACTCCTGGATCAGCCGCTGCCGACACTGCTCGACTAACCGCTGGCAGTACTGGACCTCCTGTTTTACTGCTCGTAGTTCGTCGTAGTCTCGGCGATAGCCGGCCTTCAGGTCTTTCAGCTTCATCAACAGTTCGTACTCATCCTCGTCAATTATCGTTTCACCTTCCTCATCCACAAACTCGCCCTGTTCGAGCCGCTCGTTGCGTTTCCGCTCGATGATGAGCCTCGTTTTGTCGATTTCCTGCTTGGTTTCGTTGACGGACTGTGCCAGCTTCTTGCACAGGGTCTTCTTGTTGACCAGAATCTCCTTGTTTTCAGAGAGGATGCGGTAGATCTCGCTTCCCTTCTCCTTCTTGAACTCTTCGAATGCCTCGGTGCGCGGCGGGGGTGTGGTGGGGCGAGGTGCCGGGGCGTGTGGCGTGGCAGGGGTGACGTTAGCCGACAGAGTCTCTCCCGTAGTCAGCTTGCCGTGGCTGATCTCCTCTTGGGGTGTCTCCCGAGTGCTTGGAGTTGGACTTGCTGCACCTTTGGGTTGTGTTGGGCTGGCTCTTTCCTTGCCCTTCTTGGCTTTAGGCTTCTTGGCAGCAATGATGGGTGCATTGGCCATCTTCGACGAAGGGGGTGCCACGCCGACACCGAAACCTTGGCCATCCAGCTCCCCAACCTGCCCCCCTTTTCCGTCCACCCCCCCTCCTTCTTGTAACCCGACACCAACCCCCTCTCCCTTCTCGAGTAGCGTGTACTTCTCTCGCAGCTTGGCCTCCATGGCCCCCTCCATGTTCTTCACCGCGCCCTTGAACATGGCGAACACTTCCTTGACCTGCCGGATGTTGACGATCTCGATTTCGTCCAGATTGTCGTTCAGGTAGAGATGCACCTGTCTCTGTAGCTCCACGAGTTGTGACTCTGAGAGGGGGTCGTATGACACCTTGGCTCGGTTGGACAGCGTGTCGTGCATGGCCAGCTCTTGCTTCAGGTGCCGAATCTCGTGCTCCAGTTGTTTCACCATCAGGACGGGATCGTAGCGCGTGTTGATGCTGGGCTCGTTAGAGATGCACATCATGCGCGAGGCAAATCGCAGTGTGGAGATGGTTTCCTCGATCTGGTTAGCCTCGCCCCAGATGTTAGCGATGAGGATCGTGTTACAGTTCCCGCCGATGGAGTCCTTCAGCGCGTGGGTGAGCTTGGACTGGCGGTACGGCACGTGGTCGCGGTTCTTGTCGGCGAGCGCGATGATGGCCTGCTCCAGGAACGTCAGGGACTTGTTGATGTACATCGCCTCTCGCTGTACGTTCCCCGAAGACCCCGTCTTCTTCAGCCGCTCGGAGCCTGCCAGATCCACGAAGTTAAGCTTGGACACGGTGTACGCAGCCTTGGATTGGGTACGCGACCTGGACTCTACGTGGATGGTGAAGATACAGTGCGACCGGGAAGAGTTCTTGTTAAGGGAGTGTTGGGCGATCGCTCGGTTAGTTTCACCCTCGAAGAGCAGATTGAGTGCCTCCTCTTCATTGTGTGCAACGTGTAGAGACAGCCCCTTCACACTGACTCCATTTTCATCCTCAACTATCGCCATAGGGCTGGCGTCTGCGGCGGATTCAGGGAGGGTGGATAGGAGATCGAACATGGACTCGTTGTAGATCTCGAGGTAAGAGATCCGTACGGTGATAGCTTGCTCTACCCTCTCGTCGACTTCGCGGAAGGTCTGCGCGATGGCCCGCGGGATTATCCCCCGCTGGTAGAAGCCTTCCGTCGCTCCTGTGATACTGAACGTTTTCCCCGCACCCGTCTGGCCGTAACACATGAGTGTGCCGTTGTATCCATCCAGGGTAGATGTCACCATGTCGCTTGCGACACCATCAAACACCTGGTCCTGGCTGGAATTGTGTAAAATTCCATCCATCTTAAACTGCCATTCCAGCTGCTGGTTGTTTACCACGCCGCGACGGTCGTCTTTGGGGATCCTTGCGGTGACCGTTTTCTTGTCGTCGTGGAATTTGATGAGCTCTTTGGCGAAGTACGGGGTCGGGCGGGTACGGACGAAACAGCGGACCCTCTTACCTCTTGTGGCACTCATGGTGGCAGAATTCACTAGAAGGGAAAATATCAATACAGATATAAGAAATTATCAATACACCAATATGTCTGATAGTGAAAACTGCACGTTTATGTCTGGGTACAAAATCCTCTATAAGAACTGCATTAACATTACATGTATATGATAAGAAAAAGACAATGCATGGCTGAAAGAATGAATAGATACTTTCCACCGCACTTGGTATAAGTACTCGTTCTCAGTTCTGAACAAGAATTTTTTCAAGGATTTAAACTTCTGTTCCCTTTGAACAAAAGTAAATTTATACTCGTGTATTTTGTATTCCCACATAATTAAAAGTACATTTAAGCAGCCACCAAATTGTGATCGGAACAAATATTATTCAGGATATTCTGTAAACCTGCCAGTCTCTATCTAAAGGTGTTTATCACACCTGTTATTGTGCACAACTCCAGAGTTTGCGCTGGTTTGTTGACCTTAACGGTTGATTGACTCAGTTGTAACTGGAAAGTACTTCAGACAAGCTGGCCTCTTAAGTAACACTTGTGTAATGTGTTCAATGACGTCCCACCCATATCTCCGGAAAAATTACTAAAATACTGTAAAAGGAATAAAATTTGCCTACAGAAAATACAAGAAACTATGGAAGATGGGTCAAAGATAGTTGCATGTTTGGAATATGCTATCCTCCACTAGGCCTTCCTAAGGCGTTATGGATACATATACGTGTAGTAGAATTTGGCAAAACTACATGTAGGGTTAATATTTGGCTACTTGAATTAGGGTAACGGTAGCATTTCCCCTTGGGCAAATGAACTCTATGGTGGTCAAACTCGCCTGGCAAATTATTCTCCCTAGTTGGCTTAATTTTACTATTTTTTCAGCCCATGTTGTACGTCTGGTAGACTAAAAATGTACATCTCCAACTATAGAATTTCATTTTTAGACTACACTAAAGGGGGAGGGGCAGTTTGTCAGTTAACAAATCTGTTTACAATAGAGACAGTTTTCATACTACACGTATGTAATATGCAACTAGTTGTTATACTCATGTGGTTTTCAGAAAAAAATGTCTTTTCTTTTGGATCAAAATCATTAGTATAACTTTCAAAGAAGTAGAGTCAGTCAATGAAGCGTTACGGGTTCCTGGCTACAATTTAAAACAACTGGATTAAATAACAAAACATCCAAAAAAATCTTTAGGCAACGATACTCGGTATACGATCAAAATATACGACAGCAAATTTATGATCGTATGAAATATAGCAAGTCAAAATTTATGACATTTTCCAGTGCAACCCTTGACATAATTTCTTCTAAATCGTTCTCTAACGTTAAATCTAACGTAACATAACAGCAACGTCTTTGTTTATTAATTAATTAAACTGTTCTAAATACTATCATTTGCCTTCACAGAACCACTAAAAACAACGAAATCAACCTACCTAATCTGTAGCGTTCAGAAACGTCAGTATTTTGCAGAATTTGTGAGACTAGGGCCCGAGTTTTCCCCTAATTTGCCTCTTCTCTCTGCCCCTTTTCAGATCCACTTCCCTACACAGTAGAGTGTTTACCCATCACCATGGCAACGGGTCATTGATTCTGTACGCATGCGTTCTAGCTCCTGGGCTTCAACCATTCCCTTTAGAAATATAGGGGCGGATGTTTCCAACCACAAAATAATAATAAAGTGTATTCAAGACATTATAAAGCAAAAAGTCTTACTTTTTCTGCAGAAAATACTTTATTAAACAGGATTCCGTCAACTTATGTGAAGATTGTGAAGATTTTGATTACTTTTTAGAATAATTTTCGCAGTTGTGTCTGTGTGCGTATGGTTTGTCCCAGTTAAATGAATGATGGGCGAAAGAAGAGGAGAGACGGACTTTTCCACAGAAATATCAACTACAAATCCGTCTAGAACCAAAAATTTATACAGGTAAGCTCTCTCTTCAACCGATAGACCTTTATAAACACTACAACAAGCTCATTTTGTTTCCTAATCATAAAATATCGTCATGGCCCAATTTTTTTCGAAGACGTTTTGTGCACCCCTCCCCCAAAATTATTACAAACTTTGTTATGAATAGAGAAAGTTTTCGACACACTTTCAACAAATCACAGTGTCAACTGTAAACAAGAGAAACAGTAAGGAAGCAAATTATTATGTAAGTCCCTACAAATTTATCAATTCGTTAACAAAATTTATAATCTAAGTCATGGCCTGTTTATCAAATTATGATTATGATCTTTTCACTGCAATAATATTGCAACAAGATACGAATTTTCAAGTGAAGTGGCTAGGTACAGATCAAAACGTCATAAATTTGGTTTTTACATTGCATACTAGAATTATGAAAATCATAACTGCAATGGTACAGACTCCTTCAGTAGCAGAAAAATATGCCAGATAGTGATTTATGAATGTTTACATTGGATTAATGATCAGCTAGGTCATTGTTTGATAGGCAGAACAATGAGAGTGAAACAAAAGGTAAAGGTGGTCCCTTTTCAGACTGTAGGGGCAGTGGGTTATCAGTCCAAATTGTGTCTTAAGAGTCCATCCCTCTCCTTCCACCGCCTTTTACCTCCCCAACTGAAGTCAGGTACCCATTTTACACCTGGGTGGAGTGAGGGCAATCAAGTGCCTTTCCCAAGGACACAACGTCTTGCCAGGAATCGAACCCACGACCTCTTGGTCTAGATCTGTTAGCCTAACAACTCAGCCATGCTTGGCGCCACAATGGTCAACTATTGAAGTGAAACTACAATTAAACAAAGTCTATCTAGCCTGGTTACCAGACCTATTTTAGCTCCCGAGTCCTACATCCTCTCTGCAAATGATGTAGGACTCGGGAGCAAAATTAGGTTTGGTAATCACGCTAAACTATGTATCTAGACTAATGTTCAAAATGTCTTCCAATGAATTATGTCATGAAGTCTTAATTTCCTCACATTTTTTCCCCGTAGGTTGTCAGGAAAGGTGAGTCTGGATGACTCTGCGAGTGAGTTTTCGTCCCTGGACAGCTGGGAGCCGGACAGGCCCAGTCAGCTGGTACAGAGGACTAGCTTCTCCAACATATCATTTAAAGGTAAATATAAAACCTAAGTTATGACTAATGCAAAATAAATGAAGCAACTGGATAAATTTTCCACTAGTTTCCAAGCATCCGCTTGGAGAGTAAGCATCCAAGTTAGCTATTATAAATAACCAAGAATGTAGGATATGTATATACAGTACATAGTAGCTAGTGTCAATTATTGTTTTTCTGTAACAGTGCATTGGGTTCAAGTGCCACCAACTGTCTAAGTGGTCCGGACCTTTTAGCCTTATGGTTTGTGTGTTGGGTTTGTGACCTGGCTGCCCGGGTTTGGCGTGGGTTTGAATCCTGGGAGCCAGATCTAGAAGACTGTACTACTTGCCACTTTGTGTTTCATTTAATATTTCATTTGTTGATTAAGTTGTTTCCCAATCACATCTCCTATCATAGGAGAAGACAAGACGACAGATGAGATTGGTGCTCAGATGAGTCAGATTGATGAAGGACACATCCAGCTAGACCTACAGGACTTCCCTGACTCACAGGGACAGGAGAGTCATGGCAGACACAGCTTCAACGCATTCGCTGAAGCAAGACAAGAGGTATTGACATAAGCTGTATCATACTGTCATAGTTGTACCAGTACCCGAAGACTGCCACATTTGAAAGAAGATCTACTAAATATGGTATCAGTAATCCCTTCAGATATCCAGGTGTTTAGAAGGCATTCTTTAGAAGGCATTGAGAACACCCAAATTCTTTTTGATTTGGTGGTCTAATGTACAATGTACATTGCTATTCAACATTGTATGGTAGGAGTGGAAGTGGTTTATCTATTATTCATAATATTTCGAGTAATGATATTGAATACAGGCCTAATTTGCTCTGAAAATGTATATTTAAGCGTTATTTTTGTAGTTCAGTTCACCTCAAAGGCTTAGTAATTAATGCATTGTTTGATTCTAAACTTTTCAGGAACAGGAGGTTCGACAGCCGCCAGTCAGAAAAAGAAGCAGCCACGGATCCCGGCGGGGAAGGAAGCTGCCAGAAATACCAACATCTCGCAGACGGTCTCCCGCAAGTAAGGAGTCTTAACTTACTTCTCTTAATTACTTAGCCAGGTTGGCTTACTCAGTGTCTAGGCACTACTTTTCAGTAAGGCCCTGAAAAGACATTCGGTACACTTTTTTTGCTAGGAAATTGTATTCACAGTCATCTCCAATTTATAAATCTCAAGTTGTAAGCCATAGTCCCTGGCCATAGTGTGATCAGAGATTTACTCATTTGCATACTTGGGACATATTTTTTAAATACATCCCAAGTATGCAAATGAGGTAAATGTGCTATATGTTCCTGCCTAGCTGTACCTCCCATGGTGGTTGGCAGCCTCCCTGAGTCAGAACCAGAGACGGACTCACAGCAGCCTGGCAGCAGGCTTCTGGACGAGGCACAGATCCCCAGCACAGCCTTCAGCAGCACTAGCCTGGAATCCAAGCCCTTCCTGAAGCCGCAGAACCCTTTCCTGGAAGACGCAGCCTCTCCCGCAGGCACTGATGAGGATACGGAGGAAGAGGTGGATCCTATCTTGATGGTGGGAGGTGGGTCAACAAGGCTTGTAGAATTGATGATACTGTTGTTACATAGGATACAGGAGTTTTCTTTTACACAACTAAGATAGTTTACCTTGCTGACATGTTGGTGTCTATCAGATACCTTCCTCAGAGCTTCTGACTGGAGTTCTGCTTCTCGCCGCTACGTCAGCAAGGTAAACTCTCTTGGTTGTGTAAAATAAAACTCCTGTATCCTATACTTATAACCAACTTGAGTGTGTGAATAAGAACTAATAGAGCAGTACTTTGTTGAGCTTCTTGGCTTGGCTACATTGTAGCCATTATGCATTAGCCTTAAATTGCGAATGTTACCTTTGTAGTAATATATATATTTTTAGACTTTCATAATTATGCTCAGCCTGATAGAAATATGTGCACTACAAAACAGATTTTGTTTATAAGTCTTGTTTGTTTTTGTTCCAGCCTACACAGAAGGAAACAGCACATTTTATGACTCAGAGGAGCCGGACCCTGCAGTACCCAGTATTGTCGTTAGGGGGAAAAAACGGGAACAGACTCACCGCGCCCTGTACCGTTTCATTCCAAGGTAGGAGCACTGTTACCTTACGTGCTCTTTATATCAAGGTATGGTGATTTTTAATAATGATGGAGTGAATGAGTGTGATTATTAGCACAAGATCATTACTATAGTCACTGTGGTATAGATTGCCAGCTGTTTGCAAAAATTTTATTAGGCCACACCAATTTAATTTCTTGGTTAACGGATTTTTCTACAAAAATAATGGAGCGGGCGGGCGAAAAATAAATAAAAATAAAAACAGGCCTAGGCATCCTATTATGGCCCAAAATGGTACGATAGGAGACATAAAGTCAACACACCAGGGTGGTTCAAAATTTTGATAATGAATTTTGAACTTTTAATGATACCACTGCATTGAAAGATGGAATGACTTTAACAAGAAGTATGAAAAGGACTGTTTTCAACTGTTCACGGCAAAATATGAGCATTTTGCAGTTGATTCTGAATTTTTATTTTTATTTGCAAATCAGAAAAAAATGAAGCGGCGAATCCGTTAACCAGGAAATTAAATTGGTGTGGCCTTATGCAAAAATGTCACCAAAAACTATCATCATATTATAATGTGCTAAATTAGTGTACCTGAAGTGAATGTTCCTGTTACTTGCATACATAAAGATGCAGTTGCTCTTGATGTTTAGAATACATGATTTGCATGTATATTTAACTATTTTCTGTATAATCATATGATACTTTGTGTTTTTACAGATGGAAATGGAAACTTAGCATATTTTTTTTGCATTTAACATTGTAGATTCAAGCTCTCATGTTTTTTTCTCACTGAGATGTTGACAAAATTTTTCGTTAAGCTAATTATTAAAAGTTTCCTCACACAGACACCAGGATGAGTTGGCCCTGGACGTACCTGTGACAGAATTTTGTCTGTGTTAAGTTCTGGATAATCTGAGAATATCTCTCTCACACAGACACCAGGATGAGTTGGCCCTGAACGTAGCTGTGACAGAATTTTCTCTGTGTTAAATCTGGATAATCCTGGAATATTTCTCTTTACAATTACACAGACACCAGGATGAGTTGGCCCTGAACATAGCTGCCCCCTGTATGTAGAGAGAGAGGAAGAAAATCTGTGACAGAATTTTCTCTGTGTTAAGTTCTGGATAATCCTGGAATATTTCTCTCACACAGACACCAGGATGAGTTGGCCCTGAACGTAGCTGACCCCCTGTATGTAGAGAGCAAGACAGAAGACCTGTGACAGAATTTTATGTGTTATAATAATCTCTGGATAATCCGGGAATATTTCTCTCACACAGACACCAGGATGAGTTGGCCCTGAACGTAGCTGACCCCCTGTATGTAGAGAGCAAGACAGAAGACCTGTGACAGAATTTTATGTGTTATAATAATCTCTGGATAATCCTGGAATATTTCTCTCACACAGACACCAGGATGAGTTGGCGCTGAACATAGCTGACCCCCTGTATGTGGAGAGAGAGGCGGAGGACCTGTGGTTTGAAGGGTGGAACATTCGCACTGAGAAGTATGGAGTCTTCCCCAGCGCTTACGCCTACGAGGTCGGAACTGAGCAGGAAGAAATCGGTTAGTCAGACAGCCTCAATCGTGACACTGTAATGCTTTTACCTTCTTCTTTATGGTGGTTTTAGTAGGGACAAGGTGGTTTTTGTGTTGTTTGAATTTCACAGTTGAAACTATTCATCTGTAATCAGTAGAACTGTAAACACATACATGTATTCGTGGTGTTATATTTTCGCATTAAGAGGTCACCACAAAAATAAAACCACTGCAAAAGTTTCTGCATTCACAGTTTACTCAAGAATATCAAAGTTCTTACAAGATATTAAGCAGGTCCAAACACACTTTTAAGACTGACAAAGTCAAATGGAACATATTGTTTATCTTCAAATGCAATTGGTTTCTGTTTGTTGGATGTATATGTTACCTCTGTGCCAGATATATCTAATACACATTTGTTGTAAATTATATATGTGTTTGTTTTGTACACAGGTTTCAGTGGTAAGGTGCATGTAGACAGATACACACTGAAGTTCCTGGGTTCTGTAGAAGTTCCGTATCACAAGGGCAACGATGTGCTGTGTCAGGCTATGGAGAAGGTACATTGTCAAGCAGTGTATAACTACTGTACATTCACTTCTGTCGAGTATTTTCGAGTTTTTTTTATATTCATACATGTAATCACAAGACGTGGTGACGGCACACTCAAGTTTTTTCAAATCATATTAGTGCTGCCACAAACACAGGGGACAATACAATACTCATTTTCACCTGAGCAAAGTGAGGAAGGACACAAGATTGGTGGCATGTCAGGACTCGAACCCGGGACCTCTTAGTCACACAACCCCACATTTAGAGTTGTTGTGCTGTGACTCTACTGTGCTCAAATACTACCAAAAAACATAAGCAAAGAAACAAACACATCTAAAACAAAAGCCCTTTACTGGTGTATTTTACTGCTACTTGAAGTTTCGGACTTACCATATCATTGTGAAGTGATGCCTTCTGTGTGTGCAGGTTTTGAGGAGTTGACTTGTATGTTGGCAGGTTGTGAAGGCCCGTAGGATGACAGTATTGTGAAGTGTTGCTTGTGTTCTGTAGGTAGTGAAGGCTCGTAGGATGACGTTACACACCAAACCGCCCCAGGTGTGTGCTGTGGACATCAGTGATAAAGGTGTGAAGATGGTGGAGAACTCCAATGGGCAGGTGAGAGTACATCTCATGCAGGTACACTGCACAAACATGATTCATGGATTATCATGAAGTTCATCTGTGTTGGTAGTAATCATAGTAAAACGTTGAACTTTATTCCAACACACAATTGTACAGGGATCAAATTTTCAGTGGCCACTGTACAGGACAATGACAGTGGTCCCTGAAAATTTGATCCCTGTACGAATGTTTGTTGGAATAAAGTTCAATGTTTTACTATGAATGATTCATGGATGTCATTGCCATTGATAGCTTTGCCTGCTCTGATTTTGATTATGAGCTACATGTAGCTGTTCATGTTTATGTAGCTGTCAGTCTTGTCACGTGATTATCACATCAAGTCATGTGAAAAGAGAACTCCAAGACAAGATCTTAACGGGGTTGAAGAAGAGACAGAGTGCGTCTCAAAAGCTCCCCAGTGTAGCTGAACTTCCGTTTTGTGTTCTGGTATGAATAGTTGTCAAAATTATGTTTATGATGCTTGTCAGGTGACAATTATTTATTTTAGAAATAAATTATTTGTGATATGATATGTTTTGCTAATGCCAAAAATATTTTCCTGTTTTCAGAGGAAGGAGGGTGCAAAGTGGGGAAAGCTGTTTGGTAGTAAGAAACTTCCAAGTAATGTAAGTATATGTAAGGACCACCTGGCCAATGTGACTTTTGGTGGTCCTTAATAGATTATTTTCCCATTGAAACAAGCATTGACACTCCTATACACTCTATAGTGACAACCTGTCTTACACATGTAGACCAGATTTTGTCTTTTTCTTGGGAAGTTTGCACTGTAAATGACATGGTGACTGTCTGCTTTGCAGGGTGGACAAAACTACTTCTTTGCTCTGAAGAATATTTCCTTCTGTGGCTACCATCCAAGAAATAGCAGGTATGCATGTGTAGAATATACACTAGATTGGAGAAGATAGAACTTTGAGAAATTATACAGATAAATGTAAGACTTTCATATTTTGTCAAATATACTGTGTTTTGATGTTTTGCACTGGTAAGATGTAGCGAAGTATAAAATGTCAGAAAATAATAAGGAGAGTGTAAAATGTTTCTCTTCTGTTTTGTTGCACAGATATTTTGGGTTCATCACCAAACACCCAGCAGAGCGCAGGTTTGCCTGCCATGTCCTGGTGTCAGAGGAGTCCACACGGCCTGTAGCAGAGGCACTTGGGTTCGTAAATTCAGCATTCTCATATCTTCTGACTTCTAGCAACTAGTACTTAGTAAAGGTACAAAATGTCAACTAATACCAGTATCTCATAGAATAAAAATTCCTGTTAATGAAAAACAGGCTTTGCAATTAGGCACCTTCTATTACTAAAAAAGTAGGAACTGTATCATACTGGAAATTTTTTAGTGTTTGCAGTTTGTGCTTTGTGGTGACCTCTCCAGCACAAAATCATCACAAGGGACACTGCTATTAATGCAGAATGATGATACTGGTAAATACACTCTACAACTTGAAACACTGCTACATAATGCCTCCTTTCCTCCCTTTGTTCCAACAGGAGAGCCTTCAGAAAGTTCTATGCTGAGTACATGGACTACACCCACCCTACAGAGGACATATACATGGAGTAATTTAACAGTCACTGTAGGGTACAAGACGTGATACTGGAAACCTTCAAATGTTGGCGATTTTATTTGTGTGGTGACTTCTCAATTTCCACTGCAAAATTTTGCACCATGAATATTATATGTTTCCAATGTATTACAACTACTGTTATGCAGTTGTACATAAGTGAATTATTAACTTTGATAATCTTTCAGTCTAGTAATTCAAGATGTTTATTGAACCAATTTTTTAGTAACTTTTCCGTTTTTTCAGAGTCCTTCTAAATTGTTTTAGATCAAGATTTTACTTCCTCGGTAGTGACCCTATCAGAAGTATTTTTTAAAAATTAGTATTGAATATTGTTTATCATGTGTATGAGACATAAGGTGCTTGCAGTACCTGTACACATATTGGTTGTACTTTAAACCAATCAAAATGCCTTTGTATACCTTTAAATGCAGTCTTAAAAAACAGACAATCAGTTTGAAGATTTAGCTTACAGATGATTAGCTATGATGTTGAAATCCTAGCTTTAAATCTTGTATAAAATAAAAAGTTAGAAGGGAGTGAATAATTGGGACCAAAGATGCACCAGACAAGTGATAGCAAACAGTATTAATAATAGTTGTGATAAAATATGTTACTTGATAGCATATTGAGCTGAAAGTACAATCATAATGCAGCCATAAATGTTCTTGGTATTTTTTTTATTTGCCAAAAGAATTATATAATTTGTGCCAAACTAAATGATTATACATGTATTTGTTAAATACAGAACTGTATTAACAGTAGCATTGTAGATTAGGGTAGTACTACTTGAAAAGACAAGTACAAAATATTGCAATAACATATACAGTGTACATGCATATATGCTGCAATTAACTGTAACAATTTCAGTTTTTTTGCAACAAATTTTGCATAATAATATTTACTCATATATCAAATATGACATTAACTAGCAATATCTATCTAGGTAATATCTATTAGGTATAATCTTTTAATTTTGTATAATAATTACTCTTAATATGTACATTTTTAACCTTGCAATCATCTGCCATAACTTTAATGAAATTGTTCAGAATCTATTTTTTCATATTTTTGTACATCTCTGCCTGTATGCTGCCAGCTACAGTATATTGTATGAAGTGAAAATGCTCTGATAATCAAGTGCAAAATTAAACTGTGATATGTATAACTAGTCTTGCATTAACAGTCTTAAGAGCATTTCACTTTTTATTAATAGTCCAAGAGCATTTCATGTTTTACATAAACCACCATGTACATGTAGGTGTCCAGATTTGCACTTAAGTGAACCTTAGCTCAGATCAAGCATTTTCGCACATTTAAAGTACCTTCCAAACGTCTCACACAAGAAGTTGACAAAATGACATCGACATTCATTGTCAAAGACTGGAGTTGCACAGTCAAAAATTTTGTATAAAAAATTACAGATCAATTTTGCTTTGCAATGATTTCTTCGACACAGATGAATTTTCAGGCCCGGAGGCTGCTCAGAGTTTGCTGTCTGTCCCCAGTGCTGCCAGGCTGCCTCCTTTAGCCACCATGTTCCTCAGCAGTGGGCTGGGCTGGAGGTGGGCAAAAAACAGTTACTCAAGCAGCTGGATAATGATTTTTCAAACGGTCAGACGTTTCAGGTAGCATCCACTATCTTTTGTCAGTGAAACTGGTGATATCTGAAGATGAACAGGTTTATAACCATGAACTATCATTATTGATATGCACATATGTAAAGTGAAGACAATATTGTTGATAGTCCAGTTGGAAACAAAAGCTAGACAAAGTAAAGACAAGGTTGATGGATAAGACAAAAGCTTCTGTTGTTTTGGAACAGGAGCCTAAGTGTTGTCTGTCCTTGGGGCTGGGAGCACTAAGTCTCAAGTGCACAAGAGTTCTACCCGTAGCCCCCTCCATGTTAAGGGTGGGGTTGAACATCCTCTCACCTGCAGGTGGGCATGGTCGGGGTACCGGGCACTGTACGTCTCCAGACTACACAGCAGCTTCTCCAGGCCGATCACCCTCTCTGCGTAGTACATAGGTCCTCCTGAAGTACGGGTACAGGGAGCATTTTATATTTTTCCATGCATCACAGAACTAGTGAAGATGATTAAGTCTTTCCCACAGATTTTGGTGTGATTCTACTGACAGAGATCCCAATTGGACTCTAAATTTTAGGATAGTTGCTCAAAAAACAGACCTTTTCAACTTTGATGCATATCACTCTAGTTCAATGGATTGACTTAAAATTTAGGATTTGTATATAAATGGAGACCACCCTAACACATTAACACCATCCTGATCGGAGTCTCTGTTGACAGTACATTTCAAGCCCTATAGCTATCCCATGTAAAATGAAATGCAAAATTAAAAGTTTCACCTGTGTGCCTGGGCCATCCGTAGCCAAACAGGTAGATGACATCAATGTCCAGCGAGCGAGCAGCTATTCCCTCGTCCAGGATGTGGAACCCTTCGTTGATGAGTGGGTAGAGACAACGCTCCACTATCTCCTGTAAGTATAACAGAAGACAGAGCATCATGAGGATATTTCATTAGTTTTTTCCACAATAAAAGGTGTTAATTGTGCTGGGATACATCTGTGTGTTTTTTATAGTTTGATTACAAAAAAGTTATTACAAAATTACTGTAATTATATGATAATTAAAAAGCCATGAACTTAAAAAAACACAATATTTTTCACTATAAGTTTACAGTAATTTTGTAATGATGATTTATAATATAAGTCACTTATAAATCGTCACATAGTGAACGTGTCTTCTCTTTAACTACTGTACTACACAACAGTTTTATCCACAAATGCATCTTCTTCCACCCTTGAAATTCAAGGCAAACTTAAAACAATTTACAGTATCAAGGAAGGAAATGTAAGGAAGCACCACGTACCTGTGAGGATATAGTTCTCTTCTTGAAGCCATGTTCCTGTCTGTAGTCCTGGATCATCTGCAGTACCACAGGATCCGGCAGGGCAGTACGGCTACCGGGCTCATACCTGTTACACATGGGAGGGGCATATTTCTTTAATTTATAAAATTTTCCACACACACGTGAGAGGACAAGTGATGTCGCCATTTCAAACTCTCACCCTGGAAACATTTACATCATTAAAAATAATTGTAAAAAATCAACCATAATTAAACACAAATATTTTGCACCAAATGCAACAGCATAATCAAATAATAATGAATGATTGAAAGATACTGCACTATTTCTAATGGGGGCAGCCAACTGTAATTGTACATATATGTATTATTATTGATACATGTACTAGTACATATTCCACAGATTTTTGTTAGTACTGGTTACTTTATGAATAAACAATGTTCAGACAATTTTTCTAAATGGTAGTTTCCTACCTGTACCACCCAGCCCCTGTCTTCTGCCCCAGACGACCTTTCATGCACAACATGTCCGGTAGCGGGCAGTACCGGTTACCACGCCGGTAGAGGGCGGGGGTGGCGGGTGGCGGCCCGTGTTCCGTTGTGAGGCCCTTTGCGATGCGCCCCTTCCACCCGATGTCTGTACCGGACAGGTCACCCATACGGAATGGCCCCATCGGGAACCCAAACTCCTCTATGGCCTATCAACACAGAGGTAAAAGGGACATCAGAACTTGAAGTATAAGACTCAAACAGTTAGACAGTGAAAGAGCAGTAAATGACAGATGTAAGAGGGATAATTATAGGCCAGTAGGCTATTAATCTACTGTGTCAAGGGCACAGTATTGGAAGGAAGAGCCCATCCCTCTCCTTCGATTTTTAATTCCACCACAATTTTACTTCACAAACAAGTAACAGTTACCATTTTACACCTGGTGTGGGGAAAGTTGAGCAAATTGCATTTCAAAAGGACACCATATCTAGCCAGGACTATCGGGAATCAAACCCATAACCTACCGATACTGTGTCCACTACCTTAATCCCTTTGCCATCAACACCACCTAAGATAATATAAGACTAAGTTAAACATAAAAATAACCTAGACACTGACCCTGTCGACATCTTGTGGCTCGGCCCCCTCCTCCAGGAGAAACACCGCCTCAGCCGTGTACGAACCCAACATCCGGTTCCCCACGAACCCGGGGCAGTTCCCCACCAACACCCCCACCTTCCCAATGGTCACACCCAGCTGCATCGCCGTGGCAACGGTCTCCGGGGACGTCTGCCTGCCGTAGATGTTCTCCAGGAGTCGCATCACGTTGGCAGGAGCAAAGAAATGGGTCCCAACAACCTGGGAAGGCATGTAACACAGGCATTCAAACAATATGTTCTGCAGATAGAAATGTAAGGGAAAAGCTTAGTTTTATGCACTAGGTCCTTATAACAATAATGATAGTTTGAGACAGCATCGCATTGGTAAAAGCAAAGAAATCAATGACTTACGCCAAAAAACAGTTACCCAAGCAACTGGATTATGATTTTGAGTTGATTATGAGTTGCTTGAGTAACTGTTTTTTCGCGTATCTTATTACCTGGATGTCTTACCTTCACTGACAAATCAATGACTTTATTGTACTGTATTGTTAAGCAATTGCAAGGGAGTCCTAAACTTACACTATTACACATTCAAAGTTCTATATGAAATGGTACAGTAAATAGCTGTGTATTTTCTGTATTACCCGGTCCAGTGTTTGTTGCATATGGGCCATGCAAATAAATAAATAAAAATAAACAAATACACGTAAATTACTTTGTCAGGACGTTTTGTCACTGCTGCTATCTCATCAATGTTCAGCCCGGATGTGTTGGATGCGAGGATGGTTTGGGGTTTAGTGACGGCATCCAGCTTCCTGAAAACCTCCTTCTTCAGCCTCATGTTTTCGAACACAGCCTCGATAACGATGTCCACATCCCTCAGCTGACTGTAGTCCATAGCGGTGGTCAGTTGGGACATTTTCTGGGAGGCTGACTTTTGGCTGAGGGTCTTTTTGATAGTGTTGACAGCTATGAATAAACAAATTCAAATTATTCTAAAATGATCTTGAGATTTAAAAAAAAAATCTTAATCTAAATTTACAATAAAAAGATACCAATGTTCAGGATGGTGCATGAAAGTAGAAGTTTGACCTTGTCTGACCTTTGTCCAGTTGTTTCTTGTTGACCTCTAGCATCACGACCTTGAGCCCAGCCTGTAGGAGGTTGATGGTGATGCCCATACCCATGGTGCCTGCACCCACCACTCCCACACTGGAACAAAATAAATACTACTTAGCCATGATTGTACTTGTTACATAGCATATTAGCCTGACTACTGGTATATCACACTTTTAGCAGCCCTTCCACTGGTCAGGTCCCTAGAAGCTTGATGGCCAACAACTCTGAAGTCATGAGATTTGGGAGCATCTTATAATAATCCTGTTGATTTATGTATATATGCTAAAATGGGCAGACTATTGTCAGACTTAGAACTGTCTTTTACTATGGTATTTGAGGCTATGATGACTGGTTTCATTCTAACAGCATTCCTGATATCATATTGGTAGTTCTGGGAATGGATATGGTAACCACTTGTTTATGTTCTAGACATACATGCAAGCATGTTATTTTGTTATCTTTGCTTTTTCACCTTTTGATGACTCTTGGCTTGGCGGTTCTGAAGTTGATGCGTTTGTCCCGAGGATGACTCCATGATCCATTGCCTGACCTCCCGCTCAGAGAATAAGGTGAAATAAAACTAAAAACAAAAGTTCCTTTCTGTCTTATCATCATAGACTTTAGTACTGATCTACATATATAAAGCAAACTTCTTCACCTCTTGACAACCCTTGGCTTGGCAGTTTTGAAGTTGATGCGTTTGTCTCGGGGATGACTCCATCTCCTGACCTCCCGCTCGGAAAAGAAGGCGTACTGCTGGGCCGGGGCCTGCCATGATGTCATCAGGAATGCCATCAGCTCAGCCTCACGCGCCATGCCAGCTTCAAATGGAAGGACTGAGGCCTGCAGAAATATGATAGTTTTGCTCCCGTTTGAAATTCAATCATTGTGACCATTGGATAAGAGTGAAACCGGGTGTTCAGCACCAAGGACAGGACCAACGACAGATGAAAAGTACATCTGACATATTTTGTTTTCTGTCACTTGTTCATTAGTTCCTTTCTCCCTTCCTTCCTTTCATCCATCCATCTATCCATTCACCACCCGCCCACACATCCATCCATCCATCCTTCCACCCATCCATCCATCCATCCATCCATCCATCCATCCATCCATCCATCTATCCTTCATTCACTATCTCACCACTTCATGTTTACCTGAATAGCCTGTACACAAGTCATAGGGGCAATGGCTCCTCGCGCCTTGCGTAAAATCGTCTTCCGTGCTGCTTCCACGACCTCATCGACCTTGTCAGCTTCTGGCACTGTCTTCTGACTGATCCTTCTGTCCTCTACCGGACGACCTTCAACTGACCTTGCAAAGCTGACAGCCTCTTTTAGAAGGTCACCTTGGACAATCTTGTCCACAATGCCGAGAGACAGGGCCTATATAGAACAGGTATGGGGAGGGAAGAGAATCATTCAAATTAATCAAGTGTATCCCATTCTTGTAGTTTCATTTTGCATTTAAGTAGTGTCTATAGGGACCATCTGTCCACATGGACCACATTCAATTCCCCACTCCCCTGTCATTGTTTACCATATACATGTACCTTTAACCCAGTGTTGGTGACACACTTCAGAGAAGCCACGTGACATGCCTCACTGGGTCAGTCTACTGAGGAAGACCAGAGTGACTGATCAAAAGTTCTACGTGAGAACAATTTCTTTGTGTTGGATCAAAAGTTTTAACTTGAGACATGTAACTACCAACACAGATGAACTTTCATCTTTCATGATTAGTATTAATGCCCTTAGTGGTTGTCTTGGGCAAGGTTTGACTATATACAATGTTTTCTAAACCCACTTCTCAACCAATGGACTAGCTGGGCTCACCTGTCGATCGGTATAATATAGCCAGCTGCCGCCACGCCGCGTGCCTGCGAAGCTGGTATGTTACGCCGAAAGGCAGTTATACCGGCTATACAGATACAGAAGCTGGTGTGTTACGCCGAAAGGCGGTTATACCGGCTATACAGATACAGAAGCTGGTGTGTTACGCCGAAAGGCAGTTATACCAGCTATACAGATACAGAAGCTGGTGTGTTACGCCGAAAGGCGGTTATACCAGCTATACAGATACAGATACCTGCTGTGCTTTGATGTGCTGGCCGCTGGTGATCATCTGGATGGCAGTCTTCACCCCCACGACCCGGGGCAGCCGCTGGGTCCCCCCTGCACCTGGCAGGATCCCCAGGTGCACCTCAGGTAGCCCCATCTGTTAAAAACAATAAGGAAGAACATGATAGAGCATTGGTTCTGCACCAGGGACAGAGCCATCAAGCCTGAACAAATGAAACCAGGTGTTCAGCACCAAGGAGAGGACCATATAATACAAAAGATACTGTATACTGTTACTGTACAACTTTTTTTGTCATACTATAGTTGCCACAAAGAAGTCCAGAAACGAGCTGGAAGGAGGACAGTCATTGGTGGCCTATGCTCCACACAGGGCCAAAGGTCCAAGTAAGTATACTAAGTGTTTTGGAATTCCCCTGAAATATCTTCTAATTGTTGGATGAAACCTGATCTTTCCCACATCTGGCAGTTTGTCACTTTCTCACTCACTCCTGGTAACAGCCAGAGGCAGTTAGCTACAATGTAGCCTGTTTATTTGTTCATTTTTTATTCACCACAAGTACAAACATACAAGTGGAAGGGAGGACAAAACAGGTGTATTGACACCTTTACAAGTTGTCCTCCCAAACACAACAATATAAATACAGTGCAATACAAAAGCTTGTTCTAGTATTAGTGAGTTATAATAGACAATTAAGTCAAAAAGATGAGGAAAAATATTTCCTGTCCTACCCTGGCTGAGGGAACTGCCAGGCGATAGTGTGAGGCCAGGGCCAGCTCAAAACCTCCTCCCAGTGCCGTACCATGGATGGCAGACACTACTGGCTTCTGACAGGTGTCTACAGCTTGTAGCACCATGAGGAGGTTTGGCATCTTTACAGCTGCACCGCTCCCAAATTCCCTTATATCAGCACCTGGAATATTTATAGTCAGTCTGATGTTAAAAAAGACTGATACAGTTTCTTGACAAACAAACTAGGGTTGTAGCCAGCCCAATTTCTTTTTTTCTTTCGGTCACCCCAGGTTCATGGGAAGGAGTATGGCAGACGTAGACGAGGCCGACAGCCTACCTCTTACTTCAAGTACGTCCAACAACTACTGGGAGACGAGCACAATCAGCTAACTGAGAAGCAGATCGCCAACCTTGCTTGCAACAAGGGGCAGTGGAGGGACCTTGCAGTCGCCTGCGCAGCAGCCGACCAATGATGGGAGTTGAACACACACCACTACCAGTGGACTAGCCCCCTGCTGTAGTGATTGCACTGCTGTGTGGCCCAGGGCTATTGAAACGGAGATGCACCCTATGCGTCACTTGATGTGGGAAGAAATTTATCAGTGTTACCTGCTGGAAAAGTTCTCCCTTTCCCCATGATGACGATACTGCGAACAGCCGGGTCCCGCTGGGCCCTCTCCAGGCCGTCCACCAGAGCCTGTCTCACATGGTGACTGAACGAGTTCACAGGAGGGTTGTTCACCTGCAGTACTGCTACAGACCCCAAGGTGGAGTACTCAGCCATACCTGCAAACTATGAGAAACAAAAAATGATTAACAGTTTTACTGTTAATGGTTAACACTCTTACTGTAGTACATGGTGGCTGAAGGAGTTCACAGGAGGGTTGTTCACCTGCAGTACCGCTACAGATCCCAAGGTGGAGTACTCAGCCATACCTGCAAACTACTGAATCAAGAAAATAACATTATATAAATTGATTGCCATTTTACAGTTACTCAAGCAACTGGAGAGATTTTGGGACTGGTCAAATGTTGCAGGTAGCATCCACTACCTTTCTTCGTTCACTGCTTATAGTACCTTTTGTTGACACTGACAAAGGTAGTGCATGCGTTCCTGAAACATCTGACTGATTTTATAATCAATCCAGTAGCTGTAATCGAGTCGGTATCTCATTAATCTAACCTTCATCCACCGAATAACATGATGATTGCTTTATTTCAGTTAAGGTATTCAATTTTCCCAATTTATCAACAGTACTGAAATGACAGTCACATACAGGTTATTACTAGTATCACTGTATCACATATACCCAATACTTCTAAAATTCCTCTCATCTCCTATTTATTAAGGTTACTGCAGCAGTAATTTAAATAGCTATAATTACAGTAACGTTACTGTTTGTTCACTAACAAGACAATCCCTGCCTTCTAAATAGAGAATATGTTGGATTTCAGACTTACTTCTTGTTGCAGACCGTCCAACTTGAGGTGTATTTAGGGGAGTGGTACTTGGAAAAGAACTAGCAAACTTTCACCTCATTGAGTTGGTCCAAAAGTCAATGACCTCACGGGTACATGTGGTAGAAACCATTGCGAAAATAGGGGGAAATATTTGTCAATCGTCTCACATGTTTCTAAAATTTTTGAGCAATTTAAGACTTTTGACACTAAATTTAATATTAATGCTAATGTTTCATACAATAATATAAGTATTATTATTTAAACCTCATTGGTACTAAACACGAAAAAAATTTAGAAGCTTCACCTATGCACAAATGTGATAGTCTCTTGACCCCATGACCCGGAGAGAGCACTTCCGGGTTTTGCGTTCGGTTTTTCCAAATTAAAATCAGCGCGCCAAAATCTTGACTTCAAAACTTCGTAAACGGCTAGAAACGCAAACAAACAGCGTACATGTAAACAGCCATGGAAACAACACATTACTGTATCACTGTATAACGTTGTCACGTATTCCTGAAACTTTCTAGCTAGCCGGTTTTAGCTATCAGAAATCTGTGCTGTATAGAAAAGTATAATTAGGCCATGGAGCCATCGGCACGTGAGACCTCGGGCGGAACCTCGGGCCAGGACCGTCGGCAGAGGCAGTTAGAGTTCTCAGAGATCACCGGGAGTACCCTGGACCAGGCTCGGGTTTACCTGCAGAAAAACGGCTGGAGACTTCAGGTGATACAGTTGAATATAAATCGAGTGAATGATGAAAATTATGAATGAATTAATGAATGAATGGGTAAGACAAAGAATGATTCAAAGAGTGAATGAGGGGAAAAACGTATGAATGAATAAAGTTATATAACTATACTAGTAAGTGAATAGATGAATGGATGTCGTGATCAATAAGTGAGTGAATGAATGAATGAATGAATGAATGCTTAAAAGAATGAATTACTGTATACAGTGTTAATGAACTACAGACAGTTCAGTCAATATGTAGAAGCATATACAACTATATCAGTTCTGCACAATTGTCTTGTTGCAGGACGCCATCAATGATTATTTTGAGCCAAGTGAAGAGGAGGAGACAGGTGTGCCACCTGGAGACCAGGCAGCTGCACCTGCACCTGGCAGGTGGGTCATAATAAGAAGGGAGAGTAAACCTCTCACCTGTATACATATAAGCAGTCTCTCCACTGGAAAACATGCCCTCACTGTGCCAGTCTCTAGATTGTTCTAGCCAGGATTCAAGTGTTTGTTCACACTACTTTGTATACCTATGTTATAGAGCCCGGGGGGCGCCCATTAAAACTGTGTTCTGCGACCTTACTAGTAGATGTTCAACCATTTTTTCCAGTTGCTCATTATAAGTGTTGACTACATATATGCCCCTATCACATAGCCGAATATGGCCTCTCGAACACTACACCAAACTCTGCCCAAGCATGCTATATAGGAGAAATTTAACTGTTTGGCTGCGCCAGACGAATGTTTCAAAATATTTAAAACATTTGGGTGTGGCCGATTGGCTGGTGGTTATCCCAACCACAATAATTGTAGTAGTTTCTTGCATTTTTCCCTGCCACAGTACTAGTCCATTGGAAACTTCACAAGACGTAGTATGCATCAGCTCTGAGTCTGAGCAAGATCTGGACACACAGACCGGCATAGAACCGGCTACCGAAACTGGTCACAACCGGTCTGAACCAGTTCCTCCCGGTCTCAACCTGCTGACATGGAACATTGACGGCCTTGACGAGAGGAACATTCTGGAAAGAACGAAGGCGGTTTGCAACACTATAAACAGGTACATTTCTTTTTCTCTGGGTATTTTACCATTGCTGTACCAATCAACAATGGTGTCGTGTGGTGTAATGACAGAGCATTTGGCTTGGAACCAAGGGGTCCTGAGTTTGAATCCTGCCATGTCACCGATCTTGTGCCCTTGTGGTGTAACACACCAGCTTCTGTATCTGTATCCATAACCACCCTTCGGCGTAACAAACCAGCTTCTGTATCCGTGTAGCCGGTATAACTGCCCTTCGGCGTAACACACCAGATTCTGTATCTGTATAGCCATTATAACCGCCCTTCAGCATAACACACCAGCTTCTGTATCTGTATAGCCATTATAACCGCCCTTCAGCGTAACACACCAGCTTCTGTATCTGTATAGCTGGTATAACCACCCTTTGGCATAACACACCAGCTTTGCAGGCACGCGGCACGGTGGCATCTAGCTGGAGCAAGTAAAGATTTCTTGCTCTCTTTCCAGTCTGTATCCAGATGTGGTATTCTTGCAAGAAGTCATCCCTCAGACATTTGCGTACATCGAGGCCAAGTGCGACCGTTACAAGACCATCGCCGTGGGAACAGTGGGATACTTCACCGCGCTGCTCCTGAGGAAAAGTAGCATCACGTTCGTCAGCCAGAACATTCATCCCTTCCCCACTACACAGATGATGAGAAATTTGCTGATAGTGAAGGTGATTTTACATGCAGAGATTTTTATTTTTGGTGTATGTGTGTGTGTGTCTGTGTTTCTGCATATTTATAGTCAGCATAAGACCTTTATGAATTATGATATTTAGTGTGTGGGTGAGTGAGTGTGATGAGATTATTTTTAACTTTGTAGAAGGAAAATATTTTTGCACAGTTTCTTTTCTTTGCACAGCTCCAAACAAGTAAAGTCAATGACCTGAACCAGATGTCTGTAACCATGGTAACTGAAGCTGTAGCAGGCTAGCATGGCTGGACTGTAGGCTGGGGAAGGTAAACACTATGCAATTGCTTTGCAAGTGTTAATTTTTCATTCCCGTTGTTTGCAGGCGCGGTTCGGAAGTGTTCCCCTGTGCCTGATGACGACGCACCTGGAGAGCACAAAGGATCACGCAGCTGAGCGGAAACGGCAGCTGCAGCAGGTGTTCCAGGTGCTCCAGCAGCAGGACCAAACCAACACCGTCATCGTGGGGGGGGACCTGAACCTCCGGGACACAGAGGTAGGGTGCAGTGAACCCTTCATGTCCTTAATGGCCTGATTTCTAGGCTACTACATTCTTAGACCGGTTACCAAAAACCTATTTTAGCTGCCAAGACACAAGTCTTAAGGTTGACATCTTGAAAAGGTGATACCAGTTACCTGCTATTTCAATCCTTCCACAGCTGTGGTAATGTAATCTTCATTAATAAATACATGTAAAAAGCAGTAGTAGTAGTACTACTAGTAGTAGTAGTAGTAGTAGTGGTAGTAGTAGTAGTGGTAGTAGTAGTAGTAGTAGTAGTAGTGGTAGTAGTAGTAGTGGTGGTGGTAGTAGTAGTGGTGGTGGTGGTGGTAGTAGTAGTGGTAGTAGTAGTGGTAGTAGTGGTGGTAATAGTAGTGGTGATGGTGGTGGTAGTAGTAGTGGTAGTAGTAGTAGTAGTAGTAGTAGTAGTGGTAGTAGTAGTGGTGATGGTGGTGGTAGTAGTAGTGCTAGTAGTAGTAGTAGTAGTAGTAGTAGTGGTAGTAGTAGTGGTAGTAGTAGTAGTGGTGGTGGTAGTAGTAGTGGTAGTAGTAGTAGTAGTACTGTAGTAGTAGTAGTAGTGGTGGTGGTGGTAGTGGTAGTAGTACAGAGTAAACTGGTCCAACCCATTCTGTCTTTTTGTTGTACCCAAGGTCGCTGCAGTCGGAGGGTTGCCCGCCGGAACTGTGGACTTCTGGGAAGCGTGCGGAAGCCCGTCGCAGTTCAAGTTCACCTGGGACCTCACCAAAAATGACAACCTGGACTGGAGTTTCAAATTCCGTCCCAAATGCCGGTTTGATCGCGTGTATGTCCGTTCTAGCCACCCAGACCAACTCGTTCCCGAGAATATAAAATTTGTCGGGACGGACAGACTTGAGGGTTGTGGGAGGTTTCCAAGTGATCATTGGGGCCTGTTGTGCAGGTTCGCTAAGCCAAACACTAACAAACTCCAACAACAACAAGCATAGTCGACAGATGTCAGTTATAACAAAACAGGAAACCCGGCCAAAAGAGCTAAAACAAGTTGAGCTGCTGTTTTAATCTAGCATGTTTGCTAAGAAACAGATTTCCCAGCGATCACTGGGGCCTGTTGTGCCAGTTTATTAAACCAAACACTAACGAACTCCAACAACGACAAGTAGAGCTGACAGATGTAAGTTATAACAAAACAGGAAACCCGGCCAAAAGAGCTAAGACAAGTTGAACTGCTGTTTTAAGTTAGCATGTTTATTTAGATACAGAGTTAGAGAGCTGCAGTCTTTGTCTGGTAGGTAGGAAGCAGGAAGAAAGTTGAAAACATGTAAAACAACTGGAAGCCTGTGTGTTTGTATTGAAACAATCACAGTCAGTGGTTTTGTTTTGAAACAGAAAGAAATGCAAAAAGGTTTATAGCAACATTAATGTCTATTTGGTAACAGCATACCGGTATTTGTATAGTTACATAAACTAGGTTCAATATTGGCAGTTATGAAACAGAAATAAAAGTGAAAAGACTAAACGACCTGTGTCTCTTCTGAAGATTTTTATCGTTCCATAAACATTCCTAGTCAGTTTTTAAATGTGCTTAAGGTCTTTGGTATGACTCGGCTGGGGATCGAACTCACGACCTGCAAGGCTGCACTGGTTAACTCTTTATTTTCCTCTTACAATAAAGCACAGATGACAATTTCATCTAAACAATGTAATATTTATTGTCTCCTTACTATAAACTTCTTGAATATTTACTGACTTAAATCTCTGTTTTTAAAATACAAGTAGTATGTACACAACCAAAAATTTCGAAGATACAAGTTTTAAAGATCAACTTTATATACAACAGCAACCTCTGAAATTGAGCTTTCAAAGGAAAAATGTACATGTAGTTCAACCAAGAAGAAAAGATGGTTTACAATGCATACCATGTATATACATGTAATTCCCAATGGGGTAGAGTCAACATATATGTCTGATTACTGGTGTTTCATCATGGCTGTATGACAGATCATACAGATATAATTAGCCACAGTGGAATATGTATGTTACATACTGGTGACATGTACAGAATATTCATTTCTGTAAGATTAGCACATAAGCTTTCCAAATGTTAGGGTTCAAACATTGACTCATCTTAAGTTTACTTGTCAAACTGTATTAAATTTGGATCAACTTGCCATGCATACAAAGATGTGGTGTATTTTCAAATTATATTTGAATAGTCTTGATATAGTGCAAGGGAAAGACAGTATGTTCTTTTACTTTATAAACAGAACTGACAGAACTGAACCATGAAACACTAATATGCATTGTAGTTCAACATTGTCTGAACAAATTGTCACAAAATAATCTTTTACTTCAATGTAATACTAAATATTTCCATTTGTATTCAACATACATCTAATTATTCAGGAAGCCCACACTTCTTGGATCAGTGCACACAGTCAAGAAGTGAGAACAATATGCAAATCATTACCTGCAGATACAGACGTGGTGCAGTATTGATATACAGCTGTCAAATCTTATAATACCTCCTGAAACATTCAAAAAGAAGGCCTTTGGTCCTTTTGGTTGTTTTAATTCCTCCAGGGCCCATTTATGACTTCAGTAGCACGAGAGATTTGTATCAAATTCGTACGTTTCATTGACCTAGTTTTTAGTCCATTAAACATATAATCTGGTCATTAATCTTTGATCCTTTTATTCATCCCTAGCCTCTATCAGGCTTCATAGGACTGTCAGATGCAAAGAACTGTGTTTGGCCGATATACTATACAACGTTTGACTCATTCGTTGTTACGCATTTTCACCATTGTCGTATACCGTATCGGCCGAAGAAACATAGTGCTATGTTTCTATGTTTCTTTCTGCCATTTGGCGGCCCCAAGCAAGAAGCCTGGTAGAGGCTACAACCTACCAAGGAAAGCTGGAACTTTGGAACGGGTCTTCTGGTCAGAAACACCCTATTTTACTCCAAACAATGTTTACCTAACTGTTCTAACAAACCGTTTTTGTGGTGGGTGTCAGCGTTTCTTTCCTTGGTGCTGAACATGCCTTCCATTGGAAATTATTAAAAGAAATCTCAAGCTTTCAAGGCGTCGTGTTTTAATAGTAAACCAGGGATATTTTAGGCTATTTTTACAAATCTACAGCGCTTTTCGTATGGCTTTTTCAAGAGTACTTTTTACTCTTAAGATATATTAACAGTATATACACGAGAGCCGATTTAAAAGCATGTTGAAAGTGCAAAACGCTTTTGTGATTTTTCGCGTGAACTCGGGCTTTGATAGAGGCATAAACATGGCTTAGTAAGTGCTATATTCAAGCAAAATGTACTATACAAAATCCATATCAGTTGTAGCTTCACTATCGGGCGATTCCGGCATAAAAACCTCTAATTTGGCGCTAAAACTTACAGTTTTCTCTCCGGCACTGGGTACCGGGACCACCATGAGCGAATTGTCACCGTTAGGGTCCAGTTTAGGCCCGCTTCTTGGTGGAGGCGACCCCGGTACGGCTAAGGGTGGCGTACCGGGCACGTTAAGTCCCAATGCCGGTACAGTAACCCCCGTGGGAAGCGATACCTCTAAGGGTGGGGCTAGCGAGGAGGGCAGCTGAAGCAAGTCCGGCCGTCCGGCGCTGCCGGGCATATCCTGGTCCGGCTTCGTGTCTTCCGTAGCGGGTGAAAGAACGATTGGGATCGGCGTTTCGTTGCCGTTTTCTTCTTCTTGTGCGCCTTTTGCTTTCTCGATGCTCGCGTAGACGTTTTTCAAGTGTCCCTGGAACACGTCGCTACCGGCCGGGGTGGGGAGCTTCCCTCTTGAGGACAAGGCCGCTCGCGGGTCGACCGAGCCTTCCCTACTCGCGGTCGGAATACGCCCGAATGACGGCAAACGGAACGTTTTTGGTCGGATCTCGACCGGCGGTTTTTCGAGAGGACGTAACACATCCCTCGATGGCGGCTTTCTTGTAGCTGGAGTGGCGTTGTTATAGTTGTAAAATCCGAAATTTCTTTTCAGTAGCGTCTCTGCTTGGTGTAGGTTCCAATCATACATAGGAAAAGGCGCACGGGGATACCTTGATCTGTCCGCTCCCCGCCTTCTGGTCAGTGTATGTCCGACTATTACTCTGGTGCTATGCGGAATGGTCGGTCTCGTTGTGGTCAGTTTTCTGTACAACAAAGGTTCGGGATTGTCCGGGACCGGGGCGTCCGATCGGACTAAAGGTCCGGCAGATATATGGTCAATCGCGTCTTCTATGTTCACTTTTGAGATGCGCAGTTCGCCCTTAGGACCTTTCGAAGCCGATCTCCGAGGGACGTCGCGTATCTGAGTCTGTAGCGACAAGAGGGCGAGTTTGGTCATGTACATGTCATAGTCTATCACTCCTTCCTTCAGTTGCGTGCTGTACTCGACAATTTTGTCCATCTTGTTCATGGGACCCGCTAGATGCACCTTACCGTGTGGCGACAGAGGTGAGAGAACTGACGGCGAGCTTGCGCCTCCCGAACCAGGCTGAAAAGTCGGCAGCGTTACCTCAATTTTTGTAGACAGACCCGGCAGCTGGTTGTAGCGGGTCTCTCTTGTCTTTGCTGCAGTGCTGTTCGGATTGGCGCTGTCTTGTTGTTCCGCTGTTTCATCGTTGGAAGGGTTTTTCTCCAGCTCCGTCTGCCCTCCGGTCGTTCTAGTCGGTTTCAGTTTATCGCGACGTTCTTTCCAGGAAGGCAGAAAGTCTTCTCTCTGCATCTTCCCGGGATTACCGTGTGACGTCTTCAGTCTACTGTCTTCGCCCACTCTCGTGTTGTCAAGACGTGGCGAGGATATCTTCTTACTAAGCGCTACTTCCAAAGAAGGCAGGCTAGCGGGCTGTTGTCTCTTGACCCGTGCGCCGACGTGGCGCGGCATGCCGCTCCGGACCGGAGCCGGGTTTTCCGGATACAAGCCCGGAAAGCTCCGGGTGTAGAGGAACCGCGTGTCCAGGCGCGGCCGGACGGTGTTGTCGTCCCTCCGCAGAGCAGCCAGCACCCGCCCGCTGTAGCTGACTGTCAGGGTGTTTTGCTCCTCGCCGCTCATCTCCGGATTATCTCCCGCGCTGCACGCCCGGCTCTGACGTCATTCCCAGACGACCCGTCCGTCACATGGCGTCCCGCGCGCTTTCCCGCCTCACCGATCGTCAATCTCTCCCCTGTAGCAACATAAAAACCTCATTAACCACTGATCGTCAATCTCTCCCCTGTAGCAGTACAAGAAACTCATTTCTATCATATAGAAGCGAGAAGTCAAATTTACGTAGTCATCATTCATCCATCCATCCATCCATCCATTCATTAACCACTGATCTTAAATCTCACCCCTGTAGCAGCACAAGAAGCTAATTATCCTTTGATAAACCAAATCTAACTACTCATACAGCATCATACATTTATACAATTTACTAAGAAGCGAGAGGAAGTTGAAAAGACAAGCTATAGAATACATTAGACGTATATATATATATATATATATATATATAT